TGCACGGTTCAGCTGATGCCGTCAATGTCATCACCGCCGTCCAGTCTGAGGTGTCGGCCACTGGAAGGTCGCTACGTGGGTCTTCTATTGACACGTTGAAAACGATATTAGAGCTTTGGCCGCTTTTATGACGAGAACGATAGTATTGCAATAATAACGTGAATGATATTACGGCATTATTATATAACGATCGTCGTTTGTGACAGAAAGGGCCAGAGATCAACTCTCTCTGTAGCACTGCGCCAGAACAACGAGGAGCAGCGGCAGCAGGTTTGTCAAGTGTTTAATGAATATTTCCATTAAGGCTACTTTGCGTTCATTGTGCTTGTACAGAGTCCCAAGCGGTAAAGCCTGGTGGAGCTCCCTGCCAAGTTAAGGTCTATTATATGGACTTTGGATAGCTGTTATGGTGCTTCTGGTACCTGTTTGCCCAATGACGACGATACTGTCCCATGAGAAATTGATAGTGACTATGCTGGAAGTTAATATGAGCAAACAATAACAAGCGTTTGCAAGATTCACTGCAAGAGTCAAGCTGATACACGACAATAGGCAGAATAGATTAACAGCGTTTAAATTTTTACTATTTTAGCTAAGTCGCTTAAAGGCCACATATCCTATCCGACACGCGAGCCTTGGACGTCGTGGCTATTAGTTGAGTGGTAATTACATACGTTCCGATGTTGCTTTTAGTCCTTCGTTTTACTTTTGCTTCTAGAAGGCATTATGGCAGCGTATATAAGATGTACAAATATGCATAGACACCCTTTTACTACAGTTACATGATATTCATTTAGATAAAACGCTAGCCAGAAATAGCCAAAACCGAGTTTTCCATTTAACATTAGGCTACTGTCAGTTAATTGAAATGCTGACCTTTGAAACGACACACGTACCCCTCGGACACAACAAGAGACGTTTTCATACGTAAACTGCGAATAAGAAAGATCTAGAATTAAAAAGCTTCACTATCGAGCGCAGGCCCGCATTCGCTTTGTGATGGCTTCAACATGTAAATCATGCATGTTGGCCTGGACTTATGCATCTGGGCTGAAATTGACATTGGTTTATATATATTGAGAAAATTTGGATTTGAACTGTACAAAGCTGAGATGTTCTCCCCCATAAAACAGATTCAAGACACACTCAATGTTCTATTTGTTTACAGTCGTATTTCAATCTCTGTTATTAAATGACTGCTTGAAGGAGTCCTTCTTTATAACACTTTACTTTGTAATAGAGAATAGGGCTGGCTTATAGAAATACTGTGCAGATACCCTCTAACAGAAGAACAGCCGTTGGGCACCTACTGGGCTAGTCGATGAAAACCGTTATGTTGGCAAACGACACAAGTGACGTAAAACACTAAAAATGGTGATCAAGATGAAACTCGTTCGTTCCGAGAGTCACACCCCAAAGCATCTCTGCAACCTTCATTTATTAAACCTGACAAAAAAGGGAAGGGCTGCATTGCGGTTCTGCCTGAGTTTCTACGGTGTGTGACAAAATCAGATGGCGATAAGATGTGGCCAGGAGACGTCCTTAGACTGTACCCTGTGCACGCCACGATGGTCAGGACGAAAACCCAGTTGGGTCTGGGCATAACAGGCGCCACAGGAAGAATTCAAATCGGTAACGCAGCCGATAAAGGCATCGTCAATATTTTCTTTGACTGATTCGATACTTATTCAAGTTAGTCCGATTTTTGTTTAATATCCATTGAACCGTGATTAGACGAGTAGGTGCGCGGTGATTTTGTTTATGTCTTATTTGGCGTTATTATTCTGTCTAGGTGGCCTTCAAGTCTGATAGAGGTTTATGCCAGGTTTGCGTATAACCGTCTAAACATCGTTAAGGCATTGAAAATTAAAGTTGAAGAAATTATAATATCGACACATACGCTGCTGTATCTGTTGCAAGACGCTTGATGGTAAATGTTCGTTGGTATTATTATTATTATGGGTTAGGTTAAAACTTACATTAAATAAGTATTCAAGTCCTAACCTAAGTTAGCGAGTTGTAACTTAGAGACGGACGATAGTGCGCTAAGCAGATCGATGACCGGAAAATTTTCACGATAACATGACGTCAAATTACCAATAAGTGACAGTCACAATTAGATTTAATTGAAAGTGGTGCCAAAGAGCACAGGTTTTGCCCTTGGGAATCGTGGAGAATAAATAACTCAGCTTCGTGCCAGTAAGCCAGTTGTTTCAAAACGACAAACTTTACTTCTTTTAAATATCAACTTGTATGTAATTGAAATTAGCTTTTTTAAATAGTATCACACTTACTGGAGATAGCAAATATGTATTTAGAGACCTATTCAATTTGAATAGTTTGAACATATGTGTTAAACAAAATTTTCTCATTATATGGATTAAATAAAAGTAATACGGGAAGTTTTTTTTCCTTATTTTCAACTCTCAAGAAATTGTCATCGTGCGTCTTACCAATCTACAAGCAAATGAGCCACACCTTTTTACATGCGGAGGTGTCGATCATATTGGTACGTTCGTATGCCCAAAATGCTGTTGAAATAAATTTGTTAGTTTACATCGGCAGTGCGTCATTTTAAGGTGGCATCGTAGATGTTTGCCGACGATCATGGAAAGGCTATCGTACCGCCTACGGACGCGAGAGATGAGCGACAGATACACACACATCTTTTATACAAGTATAGACAATCTGACGATTATTCCCACAGAGACAGGGTATAGACAACTTAAATCGGCGACTTGTAGAATGAACAAATATATACACTGTGTTTTTTTAATTTCTAGATACCTGCTGGCCAAATAGTAGCTCTATTTGGCCAGCGGGTATATATGCTAAATATTTGACCTGATCAAAACCTGTAGTATTAGTAGTTCTTCGTCAATAGTTTGTGGTTTCCAGGCCACGAGCAAAGGTTACCTCTGAACTCTTTTCTGGGCTTCCATCATTGTGCGAGTAGCAGACTAACTGCTACTATGGAATGATAGATATGAAAAAAATGGCTACCCACTTTCTATGCAGAACATTTTTTTCTCTTTCTTTTTTAGCGTGTGCTATCGATATGCGTTTGAAGATGACGACATCGCTTGAAATGAGTCGTGTCTATCTTTTCGCCTAAAGATCATCAACTTAGTCTGTGATGGTTGTCGGGTGGCAGCGCCAAAGTGGCTCCGTATGTGGCGCGTCATGGACCCGCTAACCAACAAAGCAGAATGGAACAAACACTAAATCGTTCTATAGGCAGTTAATCGGGACTCTTTGCGCCAAAGCTGACCATTTTCTAGTTTCTGTCCGAGGGACCTCAGAGCTAACTAACACCTGATGCTGCCAAATCGAAAGAATGGAGAAATGTCCCTCAGTATAACCCGCTGCAAATTTTGTAGTTCTGGTTCGTCACTTATAAGTACGCATGTCGCTGACTCATTTAGATTACTGGTCGCCAGAAAGTATTATATCTTGCAGACTGGCTGTTTTTTCGAACGTTCCTCAAAAACGTGTAACAGTGAACGTCAATCAATTGTGGTTTCAATATTACTCTCTACTAATTGTATCAAGATAAACAATTTTATATACATATAAGTTGAAGGGAATCAGATAGCATGTTGACCGGACGAAACAACTGAGCGATTACCGGCACGAGTTATTAAATAAGGTTACCTATTAACAGGCACTTGCATATGTAGGATTAGGACCATTCGAATGGCATATTTGGAAAGTATCATTGTATACTTACATCTATTTATTAGTTATAAAAGGATGGTTTTTCTTTGGCTGCCGCCTCACTGGCCGTTCACTTCCGAACCGAATATATATCCAGGGCATTTGCTTTTTGTAGCGTTCACTCATAGCTCTCCATTGCTTTTTATACGTACGTTCCAACATCTTCTTGGACAGCGGCATCGACATGATTTCAGAGTTCATTTTGTTGCATAACTGATCCGTAGCGTAGCGTATCTTTTAAATAACATCAAGATTTCCTTACAATCGAAATGTTGTCGTGCAAACGAAGGAACTCTTTTCTGCCATAACGTATCGATTGCTCTCTCTCTCTCTCTCTCTCTCTCTCTCTCTCTCTCTCTCCCCACCCCCTCTCCCTCTCTCGTTAGTCGTTCCGCTATGTAAGTAGTCATTTTCGTAAAAATTCTAGTTATTAAATTTTTCCGTTAAATGAAGGAATAGTAAGAGCTCGATCCATAGATATTACAAACTCGGTCTAGCCATAGGCCGAGTAACACTTATTTCCTTGCTTTTGACTCTACTAATAGTTTTGATGCTATCAGCAGTGGTACACTGGCCATATGTTGACGAAATAACGGGGATCGTTGGGCTGGGTTGGCATGAAGTTCGTTTGTGAATGGATGAGTGCAGATAGGCAGGCAGGCAGGAAGAGGAGGACGACATCCTGTAAGTATCGGTCGAGCTAGACCTCAATTAGGTCCTACTTGATGAGCGGGCGTCGGAAAGTCTATCGACGTAATTTTTTTAAAGGCAACGTCTGAATTTTGGCACGATTTTTATCTGCTTTGGCGCATGCAAACTAATACCGACAGATGTTGGAAAATTTCTTAATCAATTTCATTAAACTGTACTACTTTTTGTGTATATTATTACAATTCAATGTAATAGACGAAATACTCCTGTTGCTGAGCTCGGTAGACAAACCAGGAGTGCTGCCTAGTCAACGCTTTATTCAATTTCAATAGACTCCCCCCCACAGCAAGTGTTTTTCGCACCATAAAATTGATTTTAGATGGAATGTATAGCCGCAGTTAGATGTTTCAGTAGATAAAAACGAATTAGATATAGGTAGAGGAGGGTTCGACGCTCTTTGCTCGATGTTGCCACAAGCCTAAGCGGAAGTTGTAAGTTCGACCTAAGACAAGTTGCAATTCTTTTAATTACATTATCTGTTCATTATCTTACTATTCATTGAATATACATTATTATTACTTTCCGTAGTAGCATAGGTTAAGTTGGAGAAAAGACACACTGTTCTATGATACGCTACTAAATTTATTGTCAAACGCTGAAACATATAATCAGTAATTACATCACTCCCTTGCTTGCGTGTAGGCGTTCCGGCAAAAGTTCTAGGTATATTTTAGTTGCTCGTATAACTTCTATTCGATAGCTATGATATGATCTTGTCCCCGATGTTGCTAGCACATAGTCGTCATTATGTACTTGAACTCTGTTGCATTAATACCATTATTATATTCATTACTATTATTCAAATTGATGCTATTTTACTATATGTACATGCTCGCAGTGGGGTTAACTTCCAATCTGTCCAGTCGATGTTTTCGCATAATTTCGAAACTAGATATGTATATATACATGTTCAACGTATATGCTACAACTTTCAGGTCTCATTTTGCAACATCCGCTGGGCACCGTCTGTGCATGCCTCAATGAGGTGACCTCCGACCTTGTCATGCGCATTGCGCATCATCTGCAAACGTGAACAGCCGCTGCTACGGGAAAAACGCTTTGTTTCTACCTCTCTCTCTCTCTCTCTCTCTCTCTCACACACACACACACACAGACACACACACTCACACTCACACTCTCTCTCCCTCCCCCCCTCCCTCCCTCCCTCGAAAATAAGGCTTCGGCCCATTGCGAAGGCAACACTCAACTCTACTTAGACCTCGACCTGATGCTAATATATAGAAATACACTTGTAACATAATAGAAATACTCAGATTACCGTGTTATTCCGATAAGCACTAACCTACAATAGATTGGCAGAAGTAGAACAGGTTAAATGTTAAGCAGAGACAAAATCCTTGCAGGTACGCTCAACATTCTACTAACAATATTAGTTAGATGAAATTGCGTTTATGTATGTGTTCGGTTGTGTGCTTGATTTATGGTAGACAGTGAGGCACAGCCATTCGATGATCGGTCTGATGTGCTCTCTATTTCTTCCGTGTGCACCTCACCTCAACGCGCGGGTAGAATTTGTTCTGATACGTGACCATCCGTATTGATTCTGAGTAGCGTTGGCCATCAGTCGCTTTGTACGTAGCGTTGCACGATGTGTGCAAATGTTCGCGTAGGAACAAACCTACCACCGTTGAACTAAAAGCAAAAATTGGACGACAACCATATTTGCAATACGGTACTTAGTAGGCAAGATCGTTCGCCGGTTACGAGGCTCGATTACGGCGTCCCAGAGGAGTAAACCTTCGGACGGTGTACACTAATTTGCTTAGTTTCTCTCTACATCTCGTAGGCCCCAGCTTCATCGAGACTCGGCGAAGCGGGGTTAAATGATAATTATCTATCGATCTAGGTATTTATCTAATAATTTTTTATAAGGGTACTCTGACGTGTCTATTAACTGTTACCTAAAGGCATGTTAATCCAGATAACGCTGCTGAAGATGGTGTTGTTTTTGTTCATCATTAGTAACGAAGTGCTACAACGATGACGACCCATAGTGTTTATTATCATGGTGTTTTTCGGGCTGCATCTTAGCCATTGGTGATCGAGCAGTGACACATAGTTTTGTCAATTTCAAACGTTTCATCACTCACGTGTCACGTATGGAAACGATACAAGGCGAGTGATTGGAGGATCAATATTTGCGCTATCGTATCTCTCCTTTTACGCGCGACCGCCAATTGTGAGCATTAAATACGAAACTGGGATGTTCGTCTTGATCCCGGCAAAATTTCTTACATCGTTATGCTGCACGATGTGTTCGTGTCGCTAGTGTTATCGTCATTGTGTCGTGACCATGTTGTTATAGCTTGATATCTTTCGAAATTTTCTGACCTTTTGTTCCGCAGGATTTCGTAGTTCATATAAACGTCGTTCAAATAAAACAAGCATAACCAGTGCGAAAAACCTAGCTAGCAGCTAAAGAATGGCTAAATTTGAACCGTGAATCTATTTACACTTATCGCTGCCCTCGTTTTCCCAGACAGAATCGATCTTGCTAGTCAGCGTCAATAAGCATTGATCAGAAGAATCGAATGTGGGGACTGCTTCAACAGGGCTTACAACGTAAACCAATCCCTTCTGACCAGAAATCTATCCGGATTCCTGATTCCTATACACTACTCATCATTTTGCTCAACCAAAAATTTCTCAACGGTGCAGAGACTATTTTCTGGTCTACTGATGCCCTTGCAAGCGCTAGAACCTACCATGGCAAAAATCGACAAGTCATTATTGAGGGGTTACTGATGCAAGTTAATGTACAAGCGGATTTAGCTATCAGATAGATAAAATCCAAGGCTTCGCAGTTCCGCATACTCATCGAATAACAGTGAATTGCTACGAAGAGAAGCGCAGATCTCCACGCATACTTGCCCGTCAAACAGAAGGAAGTCGAATAGGAAAAGGCAAAATGGGGAAGGGGAGAATGGGGAGGAGAGAGGGCTTTCAGGCCTCGCTGATAATGGCCTATTGACTAACCAATTAGTGCGGGCCCGCTAGTAGGTCACTTTTTTTTGACCGCACCTGAATGAAACGAAAAGCCGGGGGCACTTTTGATATAGTTCTGTCGCCGATGCAATCGCACGGTGTGTGCTTGAATGGCCAACAAAAAAGGCAATTTTCTATGGGGGCCATAATGAATACGACGCGGAACAATTCGCAGACAGTAATATTATCGACGGATGTTAACGGTTTGTTCCGGCGTTCTATCGGAAGGTGTAAATTGTAAGTCTATGTTACCCACATTTTGATTTCAATTTCTGGATATGGAATCTAGTATGTTTCTGTAGCATTCTTCTTATAGGGCACTTCTACAAAAAAAAAAAAAAAAAAAAAAAAAAAAAATTAAAATCGGGTCGTTTTCTATCATGAATAATGAAACCGTAACACCGCTGATGCTGTCGCGACTATCCGTCAGCGGTCAATATATATATATATATACGAGCACGCATTTGGAAATAACCGAATTTTTATAATAAGGAAATTGATTGCCTCTGCAATGACCGCTCACCAACAGCAACGGTCGACGACGACGATGATGATGATGATTATGCTGACTACGACGGTGATGATGATAATGATCATAATATGGCACAGTCGGAAATGATCATTTATCCAAAAATAGGCAAGTAATAAACTCATGCTAAATAAATCAATGATGAATATTCGTTTACCGTAAAAGCTACAGGTGCATAGTCGCGCGTTCGCGGTCCCGTTCGTGCCTGCTGATAGGTCACACTTTTTTCTAAAGTGGGCTTGACACTGCCAGAGGTAGCAAGCAGGGCATTCTGCAAGACGAGTCGAAAGATCCTACGTACGAATAAAAGTCAATTCGATGATAACTAGGAATATAATTGTTTTAATTGCACCACCAAGGATTGAATACCAACGCTGTAGAGACTTCTACGCCTTCCCACCCAGGACTTTTCTTTGATTCAGCGGACTTTTGCCTCTATTAACGATCTCGTGGATTTTCTGCTACGTCAACTACATTTTTGGCTACATCTCTTACTGAGTCTCCTCTTGATAATAGGACCACCACAGGGACGATTTACGAATCAAGTGGAACATTTGTAAATACCCCCCACCAGTAAATTATCTCTACGTTCGCATTTAATCAAGCCGATTTCCGGCGGGGTTATACTCTAACAAACGGAAGGAGAAAAAATTGATTAAAAGAAGTTCAAATTATTCAACATCGGATAAGACCGAAAAGCAGGCCAAACAATAGAAGAGCCATCGTGCAGATTTCTTCAAGCTACTGCTATAAAAGACAAAGGTCATCAGTCATTAAAGTTATTACGGCTAAGTTAAAGCGATGTTTGCGATTCAGAACGATAGCTCAATATTGACTTGTACTGGCCTTTGGACGTCTAGAAAATTCGATCATTTTAGTCCAAGCAAACGGGAATTAGTTCGAATTTCTGCACGAGACTTGGCTACTGACTGGGAAGCCTTAATATCGTCTGTTCGAAAAATGCTTTCGTAACAACGGTAGCTCAGCTATTTATCTCTGTGAATCTACTATAAACGGGATTCCTTGTTTATAGAGAACCTCTTCATACATTGTAGAGAGTGCGTTAGACCTCTACGTATCTACGTGGTTCTCCGTTTGCGAAACACGAACGAAAAAATGCCCGTTTACAATATCGCTTTCGAGGAGGAGTCCACGGTTCAAACTGGTAAAGTCGGACATGCTACATGGTTAAAGAACTTATTACTGTTTGTAGAGTGTGGGGTGGCGATGACATTTGTTTCGAGGGGTGACTTAGCTTTGTAAACCATCAACTGCAATATAACTGTGCACACAAACTTAGTGACAGTGAATTTCGGAAAATTTTTTAGTGGTTTATTGACCACAGACGGATCGTATTCATGCTTAGAATGATGCCTAGAGCACTTTACCTCTCACCTTATTGCTTCGCCGTATAATGATAACCTTTTCGGTTATTTCTAACGTAAGTATACCAGATGCAAATAAAAGATCTTGTCGTTTATAAAGCAAATGCTCTTGCTATAGCGATTTAACAAACAACCGAACAAACATTTGATCGATTACCTTAGCGGAAAGTTTCTTCTATCTTCAGGCTGGACGAAAATCAAAATTAAGAACTACTTCTAAACACTGGATAACAAGTTATGTTGTCTAGAGTGTGGGTTACCTGATATAATTTGAAATGTTTTTATGTGTTATTCTTCTTGCTATGCTTAGAGAACATGGAGGCCCAATTACTAATTCGTAATAAGGATTGACCAGGAGGAAACACTCAACGATGCGGAAATGCTTCATCGCTACCGCATTGCTACATCCTTGACAAGCATACGATGCTTGCTGGGGCTACCGTCAGCTAAATTTAAATCAAATATATAGATTTAATCCATCATTGCATATCTATTCTGTGTATCAACATCATTTTCCGCTACAAATGATTAAACGTTTCGACTTTTACGTCCGATGTAGGCATTAAGAAGTTTTCTATCGCAAGTGCGCTCGACAAAGCAGATGCAAAAATACTGTACCTTAAAATTATAGTTTCACGGAACCCCACTGGGGTAATGAAACGTACGGAAGGACCGCTTGTGTTGCCTGTTTCTGTTGACTGTGAAAACGTTGGGCCGATAGACCGCCGTCAAGTGGGGCTATCATGGTTGTCATTGCTGATGCTGCTGTCGCCAGCGATAGTACTGTTTTTCGCTGCCCATTGCTCGGCGTCAGCCAAAATTTATTTTGGAGCGCCGAGATGGTATCTCCTCTTACATTCGATAAAACGACATTCCATTTTTTGTCTGATTAAGGCCGTTCAAGGATGTCTATCGCCGAAGCAAAAGCAAACTTGCTGTCATTGATCTGTTCTCTGTGTTGTCGACGTGCCTATGAGACGATCGTAAATCTGGAAACTGAGACCATATACACACATACATACAGTTTTAACATTAAAAAATGATCCGGGAAATCGGACTCGTAAAGTCCGCCCCTTTCCGATATCATTAGAAACCGAATCACCTATTTCCTTAACTTTTACAACGATATATAAAAGAAGAATATATATATATTTTTTAATTATTTTTCGCGTTACCACAGCCGCGTCGTCCATATGAGCATAACATGTGCACAGACTAGGGAATAGAATGATAGCATCCCTGTTAGATGCCATTGACTTCATATCTGATATCAACGAACCTGGCCTAAGTAGAATGATCAGATCTAGCTTTCAGAGTACGCAATTAACACTTGCTTTTACTAGACCTTTTACCAGACGTTTTCCATTAAATTTAAAGCAAATTTTAAGTTACACTTCCCTAGTTACCTGTGAAACTATATCGAATAAACACGTCCTAGTTATACGTTAGCTTGCTATGCCCAGGCAAATCATGGAACGATAAGAGAGCATTCGTTGTTGTTCCGAAATATTGAATGGCCCCTGTCGACATATGTCTCGCGCTAACTTCAGCTGACTTAGCTTGATTTCAATGATAGAACTTCTGATCGGTAAAGGCCATAAATCCAACAACGGAAATCTAAGCCATTTTTACAACCAAGGAACTGCTCTTATTAAGCCGTGCGCTAATATGAGCTATTACTGCACGGTATCGAAGGAATCGATGAGCCCCGTATAATGCAGTACAATTTGCAGTTCGTGTAAAGGTCACAAACTTAGTCATTCTAGAGATGTTACCCGCTGCTATAGGTATCTGAAGTTATGGTATCGTAAAATATATGTTCCATACTTTATAGAGTGACTGTCAGCGGTTGGTCGATCGTGTGATTTACCCAGAAAACATTTTGAACATGAGTACTAATAGATAAATGAATTCCCAAATCGATCAGCGGACCCTTATAGCCAACCGGCACTATCAAATATTCAGCGAATATCACTTGCAGGCTCTACGCGCTGGAGCCCCATGCCGGCCGAGCGTTCTAAGGGCAGATGCTTAGAGCTCAACGCCACACGTTACACCATCACAAAATTAAATAAAGCAAAATCAATGACGGCCATAATTAAGCAACAACAGTTGGCTCGTCATAATAATCAGACAATCAATGGCAACGACAACGCAGACCGCTATTGCGATGGCTTTATATTGGACGATACATCAATAACCATTGATGTTGTTGCTGCTTCTTTTTCTTATTGCGATTATTGTTTCGATCGTTGTGGTCGCTATTGTGGTTATTATTGCCACCATATGATAAAGATAGAAGCGGCCTTTTTGACCCATGACTCGACCGATTCAAAAGATGTGCTACACATGCCTGGCTCTTGCCTGGCGGACGAGCTAAGGGAGATCGAACGAGCCCAGAGGAAGTACCGACCCCACTTGCTGCTGTTGTAAATTATGCTTAGTACTGTCATGACGGTACTATGGCAACTGGCTCCTACCCTCCTGTGCTGTTTAAATGGTTTTTGTTGGTTTATAATACCTGTGGATTCTTTTTGTTTCATGCACAGTTTCTGTCCGGTACACCGAAATCCATTGTCCCGATTAAGAGAGCAGGCCCCTTCCACATATGGCCGCCGTTTTAAGACTTTTTTTTTTTACAAGTTTCATTCATCAGCCAGAAAATGGAATTATGACCTCGGTTCGAAAGGGGCAAGTAAATCATGAAACGAAAAAAATGACGGAAATCACTACAAATTGCGTTGCTTTTCCAACAGCATTAACAACGTCTGTTACCATGCCTGATTTAGTTAGTTTTTTTTGTTTTGCCCCTAGTTACATGCAGTCGCATTGCATGAGCACAAAACAACGGCAGTGTTAAGGACAACTAGCATCGGTAGGGTGCTTGCTAGGATAAATGCCAAGAACATTATCATTAGCGTCGTTCCGAATACAGGATCACACCACGCACAGACCGGCACACACGTATTCACAATTTGTCCACTTTGACGGCGATAAATTGCGAGCAGAAAGCGAACGAACGAACGAACGAACGAACGGCGCAACTTCATCGCCTCCTCGGCATCGTCACAGTTACTACGAGTAATAAGCCACTAGGGATGAAGTTGTACGTTGGGTCTTATGCACGCGCATGCGCACGCGCATCTCTTTACCCATGTGCACCCTGCTGTCTAATTTGTTCTAAATATGAACGACTAATGGATTTTCCCAGGCATTCACAAACGTGCCGGACCGCATCAGGATGTCATGAGCGTAATCATGTGAGCAATTGTGAGCACTACAAGAACGATCGATTACATCCATTCGATAAAGAAATAAGAAAAGAAACACAGGTAGCACCAAGCTTTTCTATCGCTATCTACCGTCCGAAAATGGAATACTATTAGAGAATCCCGTCGTGTGCGCCCCGTCCGAGTGTCACGGAAGATGTATATGGCTAAAACCATCACCGATAGGGGTGACAAAAAGGTTTTATTAGCTTTTGTATTCTGTTGTGGCAATATGAAAAGCACACACATAATAAAATGAGGCCGCACGTAAATTGATGGATAATATTCCACAAGATTAAATGCAGCTGAGCAAAACAAAGGCGGCGGACGAATAGCTGATCGTTAAATTGCGGGTAGGCTGCCCGATCCTGGGACCCTCATTGCTTTTACTAGCAGTGAATACCCACACCTAGGTAAAACCTATGAATGGTCTTATTTAAGCTGGAAGGCTCACCGAACGACAACGCAGTCTGGCTTACGTCTGGCGTTATGTTACGTAACAAAAACGTAATCTTGGCCGAGCTTTTATATGCTCCGGTAAGCAATAATAATGAGCCATACTTCAGCCAGCTGCGCAATGACACTGTTGTCACGCATATCGGTACCGCATTGCCACTATATCTACCACTCAGAAGAAAACCAACTGACAAATCTATATCTAAATGGTAGTTTTGGGTAGATGGCTTTACTTAACCTGAAGCAGATGATCATTCAATCCAATGCGGTTTGGATGATGATGGCGCGAAAGTTTCAATGCCGTTTGCTTGGATGGAAACATATCGATATGATTATCGGTTTTTTACGACGACAAAATATTGTCCCTACAAAGTCTGATGTCTACGGTTGTGTATTCGACCATTCATACAAAATGTGGCCATTTATATATTTCAATAGTGTAACATGTATAATAGTCTAAAGGAAACATGTGATCGTATTCTACTTGTTTGCGACAAGCGACAAAAAAGTTGTCACCTCCCCATAAACCGCGCGTGCCCGCGATGTTTCAAGCACATAGAAGGGAGCACAACAACGCAATGTCGTGCATTGGCTAATTGTTGTAAAACCTCACCGGAAAATTGCCAAACGAAAAAAAGAAGGAACAAGCGGGAAAGTCTTGCCCTATTGATGTAATATTATGTTATACAATAGAACATTTGATCAACTACGACGTTTCTAGTAGCTAAGTGCTATAACGTGGCCATTTTCGTTTCAATCAATGATTGAAAGATTTGGTAGGTAGGTAGCTATATTATCGGATGTAACATCTGCCGGGGATTGCACTTTGGCAGTGAAACACGTTTACCGAAATAACAGTATAGTTTGGTGGCCATCTATTTTGGTCTCTGGGATTATACTACAAATGCTTAAACTTTCCTGTAAGATACTCTGTGGCTCTTCGTTATCTAATTAGAAGCCCAGTATTATACTGAGTCGTATGACCTCAATGCCTGGTCAACTTTAAGGTCTTGTTTCGCTTTCATACCACAACTAAGTCAAACTATGAGACTACTACACCATCACCTCTAGCACACGTTTGCTGTCAAGCACCGATTATATATACATATATATGTGTGCGTTATGTTTATACGCCATTTAGTAAACTTAAGAAATGGAAAAACAGGCGATAATACCTTTGTTGCTATTCCAACTGGCAAAGCTCAGCGCGTGGTGTTAATGTAGAAAATGCTGCCCTGGGGCGTTGGATAACTCTGTGGGAATAGACGCTCATAGCCAGACGCTGGAGGAGGCAGATACGCTGCTGATTGAAACTGGCCTGGGTACAGACTGGGAATTTGAGGCTTAGACGGCTGGAAACTTCCATTTTGGCTAACCTGTAGGGGCGAGAAAGGTTGGATCCTATTGTAGCGGTAATAGCTCTGCTGGATTGGGGACAGTGCTCGCAGTGGCAACAGAGGCAAGGTTACAATAGCCCGGCCAGAGACATTGTCAATGACGCTCGTGAACCCGTTGTTTTGTTTACGTTCCTCAGGATTAAGGATGTCGTAAACGCTTGGAATATTGATGTTGCTAGGAATTTTGCGAAGAGCAAATCGAGCAACAGGTGTCGCAGGAGGCGGCACCTGCATAATAATCGTTGGTGCATCTGGCATCAGAATCTTTTCGCCGCTATGGAAAACGTCAGTGATAACAGAGGTATTGTGAATAGCATTATGTGGGATTCCATTTCTGGACTGTGACAGCATTGACAGATATGGCTCAGCAGACGTGCGCTTTTCGGCAAAAATTTCAGGCATCATCAGTTGACGATCCCTGGAAAAGCCTGTGTATTGCAGATTTGAAGTTCCTGGCGTAACTTTATCGCCTTCAGCCACATCGATACTTTCATTTGGAGGCATCGCTTCCTCACGAATAATAGCCATTATTTCGTTAAGTATCATACGCGTATGGCCATTAGGCTGCACTTTAAAGCTAAGTTCTGCGAAACGGTTTCCTCCGAATGGCAACACAGGAACATTGACTTGATCAAGCATTCGCATCTTTAGGGACTTTGCGGGTGGAACGCTCTCTGTAATTGGGTTTATTGGCTCTGTGTTCTCACTAATTTCTGATGACGAATCAGAGGAGATGCCGCTTATTCCTTTATAGGGAGTATCTATAGTTAACGCAGGGTTATCTTCCATCTTATCTGCGTTATCTTCACCGTGGTCCACGCCGGAAATGATCCTTGGCTGGTCAACGCTTTGAGGGGAATCTTCCACCTTATCGGTGTTATCTTCACCGTGGTCCACGCCGGGAATGATCCTTGGCTGATCAACGCTTTGAGGGGAATCTTCCACCTTATCGGCGTTATCTTCACCGTGGTCCACGCCGGAAATGATCCTTGGCTGATCAACGCTTTGAGGGGAATCTTCCACCTTATCGGCGTTATCTTCACCGTGGTCCACGCCGGAAATGATCCTTGGCTGATCAACGCTTTGAGGCGAATCTTCCACCTTATCGGCGTTATCTTCACCGTGGTCCATGCCGGAAATTATCCGTGGCTGATCAACGCTTTGAGGGGAATCTTCCATCTTATCGGCGTTATCTTCACCGTGGTCCACGCCGAAATGATCCTTGGCTGGTCAACGCTTTGAGCGAATCTTCCACCTTATCGGCGTTATCTTCACCGTGATCCATGCCGGAAATTATCCGTGGCTGATCAACGCTTTGAGGGGAATCTTCCATCTTATCGGCTTATCTTCACCGTGGTCCATGCCCGAAATTATCCTTGGCTGATCAACGCTTTGAGGGGAATCTTCCATCTTATCGGCGTTATCTTCACCGTGGTCCATGCCGGAAATTATCCTTGGCTGCTCAACGCTTTGAGGCGAATCTTCCATCTTTCGGCATTATCTTCACCGTGGTTCATGCGGAAATTATCCGTGGCTGCTCAACGCTTTGAGGCGAATCTTCCATCTTCTCGGCATTATCTTCACCGTGGTTCATGCCGGAAATTATCCGTGGCTGATCAACGCTTTGAGGAGAATCTTCCATCTTATCGGTGTTATCTTGACCGTGGTTTATGCCGGCAACTATCCTAGGCTGATTAACGCTTTGAGGCGAATCTTCCTTTGGCGAGAGGAAAATCTCAGAACTCTTATCAGGCACCTCATCTCCTGTGGATGTAGTTTCAGTGGGGCTTTGGGACTCCTCATCTGCTTCAGTAGATACTTGCTCAACTGGAATTGCTTCCCGCTTGTCTGAAAATGTGACATGGTCGAGTTTGATTAGCTCAACAGGTTCTTTTGAAATCGGATCTATAGGACTTGTAGATGAGCTTATAAAAATTTTTTTCGAGAATAACTCTCGAACAGGCTGAGATGCTGGTGATTCACAGTCGTAAAGAAGTTCTTCACTCGCCCGTGTATCTGCTTGAGGGCTGACATCTTCTTTCGCTGAGGCGCTAAAGTTTTCCAACTGAGCCTGTCGCGTTGTGGTGTCGTTTAGTTCCACGAACACTCTATCGGTTTCCGTCTTCGATAAGCCACCAATACGCTTTGCAGATATATTGAGTTTTTCTATTGACGCCACTTCAATGGGATTTACAGGCTGCGCTTGCCTAACTGGTCCGGATGTTTCAAGTCGAGTATCTACTGCAGAGTCTTTAGATCTGAAAGGCACTTCATTTTGGAGATACCTCTCTATATTCGATTCCAGTACATTATTTTTCAGTGAATTTCCGGCAGGGTTCGCACTATCTGATTCACCACGAATGTTACTGCCATTCGCTGACGTGTGAGTACGATCCTTAGTGCCTAAATCAAACTTTTCAAGTCCAAGCGGTGGATAAGAGATAATAGTCTCTTCATACACCGGCTCGTCATAGTTGGTGTTTTGATTAGAAAAATCAGGCTCGTTTTCCGTCGGCACTTTTAGTTTAGCGTCAACTGTTTTTTTAGGCCCTGTTTGAAATCCCTTTAAATTTGTGTTTGGGTAGGTTGTTTCATTTGCCAATGGAAAATTAACCGACGTCGCTTCAGTACTTCCAGAGGTCTCTGCTAAAGAGATTTCATCAATTGTGGTGGTCTCACTGATTACCGTGTTGCTATTGGCAGTATTTTCTGTGGTAGGCATCGAAGGAACGAACTGCTCTGTGCCGGTTTTTAATTGAGAGAAGGGGAAAAAAGAGGTAACTTTCTGAAAATGATTATAAGATTCTGCTTTCTCCGTATCCGGCCCTTTTACTGAATCTTCCTCGCTATTTGCTATAGCTTTGGATATCTTAAGGCTTACGACAGTATGCTTAAATTCTGCTTCCTCATTGGGAGTGTCTTTATGATCTGGTGCGGATTTCTGGTTGGTTCCATCAGAGCTTATTTGCATGTCGTTTCTAATTTTCGAAGGCCTTCGAAGAGGGATAACGGTGTCATCGTTATGCAAACCTCCTTTTCCTATAGATTCCATTGTAGAAGCGGACGTCTCTGACGATTCTTGTGTCCAGTCAAATAGTTGAGCCGGCGAAAAAGTTGACGTTGGTACCGAATCGTCAGTTACTTCCTCAGGCCTTCGCACAACAACTTCCAGTTTTTCAGGACATGCAGTGTCCGGTGGGGGGGTATTATTAAGGGTCTTTACCTGTGGTAGCAGTTGGTCAGGCGCAGGGGTTGCGGCGACTGGCGATTCTGACGCATTTTGAGCTAGATTCATTTGTCCGTTACCTGGGTTTATGTTAAAGTCACTGGCCGTAATACTTTCAGAAGAAATGGTTGCAGACACAGACGGGTCAGCTGTCGTTGTTTCGGTGGCGTAAATACTGGTGGCAACCAAGATCTTGGCTGCAGATTGCACCGATGATTTAAGAACATCTGTGTCCTCTGACATCTGCTGTGAAGCGGTCAGTAACGGGGCAGGTCCTTTGGGCGCCCGTTCAGTGGCCATCTGCTCAGTCGCTGATTCTACAATTGCGGTTGTAGCTTCTGCTGCAAAAGGAGTCGGTCGGGTAGCTATAGAAATTGGTTCGGAAGTCGTTGTACCTGCCTCGCTATTTGCCGCTGTGGGCACTGTACCAAGAAGCGTATTGGTATCCGTGTTGATTAGCTCAGCAGCTGCGGTTGTTGGGTTTGTAGTTGTTGTGGCAGGAAGAGTCGTATCCTGGCGAACAAATGTAAATTCATCATGAGACGCAGATGCAGCTGGTTCGTGTTTGAGTAACGAATACCCCCTTGGAACAACTAGATTCTGAGAGTCACCTTTTAGTATTTTAAATTTGATGCGGCGTGGGGTCCGCATATAGCGCAGCCCTCCAACGTTGACGGATACTTGCGAAAGGCCCATAGGCATCGGCACTTTAGGGTAAGGATGTACGTGGGCGAAATCGTCTTCGGAAGGCTCTCTAAAATTCGAAAAAACCCGCTTTTTTCCTGATAGATGGCGCACTGTCACCCTATTGAACAAAGATGGCGTTTCTGTTGAGATTGTTAGTTGCCCGTTTGCGGTCGCGGCCCCCACATTTTGATGAGGTTCGACCTTATTCGAATGAGATGCGACGGCAGTAATTGCTTCTGGTGGTCGGCGATCGATCACTGTTGTCAAGTCGATCAAAGCTTCATTAACGACATTGTTAGCTGGCAACGTCTTTTCTTCGTCGCTAACGTTTTGAGCTTCTTCAGGACTCGGTGTGACGGTAACGGTAGTTGTAAGATGTGCCTGTGTAACAGTACTCGTTGAAGCTGTAGCCGCTGTGATAGTTGCGGGTATCTCAGTGGCTGAAGATGAGGTAATCTGTTCCGAAACAGGAGCAGTCGTTGTAAGAAGCTCTGCTGTAGTTGAGGGCTGGTCGATCATAGGTGCATCTGTGCTAGTGTTTGTAGTGGCAACAGTCGTTACGGTAGCAGCAACGATTGTAACAGAAGGTGGTAAATCATCGAAAAACGTGTGATTGACAGCGACTGGTATTTCAGTCACTAACCCTGTACCTGCAGTTGTATCGATACTGTAATCAGTTGGATCCTCCGTCCTATTTGTTGTAAATGACAGGGTGGCCGTTTTTAAACTTCCCCTATTGACGAGCTTTCGCCGACGAATTTTGCGCACCTGCCTTTTCGACACCACTTGATCCTGGTTGGCAATGTCTTCATCAAATTGACTTTTCATGCGATCTATTTTAACGATCTCTATAGATATAAGTTTTCGTTCGGCCTCCCTTTCAGCCCGTCTTTCAACTGCTATTGTTCGGTCTTTGACATGAGGTTCAGCGGCTACTTCGTTTGCTATACTCGAACTTTGTGGAGACGAAGCGTCGGCTGCATAATTAACGACAGAGTTGGAGCTGTCGTAGTGGTTACCGAATGTTCGATCTTCCTGGAAAGCTTCAAGTAAAGCATCTGCGAGAATGTCAGCTGCAGTCGTATTTCCGAGATGTTGGTCCAGAACACCTCGCACCGTGTCCCTTGGTAGGGGAAACGATCGGCACATAGTTGAAAACACTGCTACGATAGCGACAAACACTACTGCGTGCACCATGTTGCTTACATCGGCAGGCTGCCGTACACTTCCGCAAGCACAAAACAACACACATGCACGGCCCCACAAAAAACTAAAGACAATGAAGTTTCGTACCCTCCGCTCACACCTTACGCAAGGCCTGCCCTCAGTTGATTACACATTCATTAGCCTCAGGCTATGCTCCGTTCTACTAGGCACTGCTTGATACGTAAGTCTGTATCGACCTCTGGGTAAAGACACTTAACAATATAATAACGAAGCACGCGAAATATTTCCCATAAATGTCTTTTTGTACCGGAGCGGCTGTGGGTCGATGAAATCGTATAGAATTGTGATGAATGAACATAAGCCGTTAGGTCCAAGTTTTGGCCCAAGTAGCTGACAAGATGCGCGCTATACCAGCCGTCTACAAAACTACGTCGACTTCTGTCTCTGTCGTGGATAGACTTCTGCAACGGCGGATGCCGCCAAACGATGAAGCCCTTGCCACTAGCACGATTAGCCCTCGCACTTTTACTTTGGCCCCCGACGCGCGATCAAACACGCGTTTCACTCATGTAATGGCCCAGCGCAATCAATACATTGTCAGCTTGAGCCGATAAACTAACTGATCCACCCTAGTATTGTACATAAAAGAGGATTCCACCTTACTCTTTCACGTCCCGTCTGCCAGCGATTTGTCCTAAAAACAGGCATAGTTGGGAAACAGATCCGAGCTTCACAGACTTGCACCACTTGTCTGCTTATTCCGAGTGTCTTTCGTCGTTTATATTGCTGAAGGCTCTGTCAGAACAGTGTTGATACCGTACTTGAGCTCGTCTTCAAGGTGCTCTAGGATACGGTGTACTGTTGTATATAATAAAAAGAAGTTCAACAGATATTCTTTTTATTAACCACTTGGCCACATATACATTAGGTATTTCGCCGTAATATATTCTCGATCAACATGGAACTCCTAATGCCGCTTAGACAAACTTCACATTGAGGGAAGGCAACGTGAAAAAGCCATATATCAATAATTAGCTAAATGAAGTAGATACATTTCTCGCGATTGCTCAGTCATAGCGCATTTATTAACACTAACCGGATAAAACTGACTAAGAAACAAAA